CGGAAAGCATTAGTTTTCTTTGGAGAAAAAAAGAAGCTCTCTTGGGGTGCTTTCACGTACGCCGTAAAAACGGTACGTCACACCTATAGCCGCAAGACCATCCCTTTAAGGAAAAAGATGTTCTGCTCACACACGCGCCTGTTAAATAACTGCTGTATGACCACGAAAGGTCGCCATTTTTTTTTTTCTTTTTTGGCGCGGTGATGACTCAAGAATATACTGAAGACAGCCATTCAAAAAATTAAGTCACGAATCTGAGATCGAGATGCTTGAGACGTAAACAACCTTTTCAAGATTTATTTAGATCTGTTTGGTTTTAGTAGCTGCGTTAATTCCTAGAAATATTTACCCAATTTTATAGAGCTTTGTAGGGAGACACCATTTTTGTTAGTTTACCTAGGAAAATTTCGAAACCTGTGGAATGTCTCTCATATTTCCTGTCTCTACAGGGCAAGGTTCAACTCTTTTATTTGGCCGACTGATTTTGAAGAATTGAACGGAAACTCCATGTAGAATTTCACTGTAAATGCCATAGCGGCCACATTTGCACGTACGTACCAGTCCTGCGTTTCTTCACCCTGCGAGACAGACATTCTCAGTTCTCTTGATAGTCCAGGAGAGACGAGAGGGAGGCTCTGCTCGCAACCGCTCGATCGTTTGATCAGCCGCCACCCACAAGCTGGGACGAATAAATTAAAAATACTGGGCTTCGACATTTGAAAAGACTCCCCGCGTTAGCTTCAGTTGCAAGCTAGTTCCAGTCGAATACGAACATGGCCTNAAGCTCTCTTGGGGTGCTTTCACGTACGCCGTAAAAAACGTACGCCACACCTAATGCCGCAAGACCATCCCTTTAAGGAAAAAGTCGTTCTGCTCACATACGCGCCTGTTAAATAACTGCTGTATGAGCACGAAAGGTCGCCATTTTTTTTTCTTTTTTGGCGCGGTGATGACGTCAAGAATATACTGAAGGCAGCCATTCAAAAAATTAAGTCACGAATCTGAGATCGAGATGCTTGATACGTAAACAACCTTTTCAAGATTTATTTAGATCTGTTTGGTTTTCATAGCTGCGTTAATTCGTAGAAATATTTACCCAAATTTATAGAGCTTTGTATGGAGACACCCGTTTTTGTTAGTTTACCCAGGAAAATTTCGAAGCCTGTGGAATGTCTCTCATATTCCCTGTCTCTACAGGGCAAGGTTCATCTCTTTTGTTTGGCCGACTGATTTTGAAGAATTGAACGGAAACTCCATGTAGAATTTCACTGTAAATGCCATAGCGGCCACATTTGCACGTACGTACCAGTCCTGCGTTCCTTCACCCTGCGAGACAGACATTCTCAGTTCTCTTGCTGCTCCAGGAGAAACGAGAGGGAAGCTCTGCTCGCAACCGCTCGATCGTTTGATCAGCCGCCACCCACAAGCTGGGACGAATACATTAAAAATACTGGGCTTCGACATTTGAAAAGACTCCCCGCGTTAGCTTCAGTTGCAAGCTAGTTCCAGT